TCTCTCTCTCTCTCTCTCTCTCTCTCTCTCTCTCTCTCTCTCTCTCTCTCTCTCTCACACACACACACACACACACACACACACACACACACACACACGTCTCCATCCTCCCTCTGGTCCTCTTTCTCTAGCCCTCACTAATGCCGTAAACAGACAAGAGAAAACAAAAATTGCCAGCATTACAATACACCATAACAGCATCGGGAACTTGCAACTTTTGCACGACAGACATATTGGGGTGTGGAATGAAAGGAAGTGAAGGGGTCGAGGGTGAAGGGGTCGAGAACCATGAAGCTTAAAGTGAAGGGGTCGAGGGTGACACGTTTATTACGTCCCGGGTCATTGCTACTGAAAAGCGCTTTTCGAATTTCACAAACATATTCACAAACCCCTGTCTTATGGCGCTAAACCCCTGATAACGATGTATACGAGGATATCGCTGCGTCAATCCACACTCCACACCCAGCATTGTTCCCTTCTTCCTCTGCATCCAACTTTCTCCTTTCCCCCCCTGATGAGCCGTTCGGCCCTCGTCGCTGGCCTTCTTAACTTCGTCCCACCTTGAAACTTGTCCCTCGTTACACTTCCCTTCCCAACCCTTCCTCTGATCTCTTCTGTCATTATGCGTCATCTGTCTTCCCTTTCTCTCCTCGCCCCTTCCCTCCCCCCCCCCCCCCCCCCCCCCCCCCCCCCCCCCCCCCCCCCCCCCCCCCCCCCCCCCCCCCCTCCCCCTCCCTCCCTTCCCCCCTCCCTTCTGCGTTCTCCTCTTCGTGCCTGCCGTCGAAAAAAAAAGCCCCGAAAACGATCAGCCTCGGCCCCCCTCCCTCCCCCCCTCCTTCACATTCTCCTCTTCATGCATGCCTTCCCTCTCCCTCCCTCTCCTCCACCTCCTCCCTCCCCCCCCTCCCCGCCCTTGCCGCGTTCTCCTCTTCGTGCCTGCCGTCGAAAAAACGCCCCAAAAACGATCAGCCTCGTGAAAGGTATGACACTTGCTTTGGCGATACGACATACTTGTAGGATCTCCGAGCCCTCAAACTTCCCGCTTCCCGTCCAGATACATTGTACTTCAAAGAATCAGACACGTTTTCTCCACGTACGGGAGCGGTTGCCAAACTACCGTCCTCCCCCGAACAGAACGCACCCAGACGATATCCTGACAATGAGTGTACATAAGCCATTTTCCGATCAGGAACAGGCAAAATGCGTGTGCGTTGTGATCGGCGGAAGACGGTAGCACGCGAAACGCAAAATAGTAGCCAGTGGCGCCTGACAATACCCTGACAATGAATGTATATAAGCCATATTTCCGGTCAGGTACAGCAAAAGTGCGGGTGCGTTGTGTTCGGCGGAAGACGGTAGCACGCGGGACGCGAAATAGCAGCCAGTGGCACCATAGCTGCGCGCGCTCTAATCGAACAACGCCCCATCTTAAACTCCGCCCCATCTTAAACTCTCAAGTCCATAAGGGGCTCCACGCGTTCGCATTTTCAGAATCTTCAGCCCACAAAGTGGATGCAAAATCCGCCTGCGCATGTACGGGCCGTTGTTCGATTAGAGCGCGCAGCTATGGCGCCACTGGCTGCTAACAGCGACGCTGGAGGCGAGCTCAAGAACTTTCCAACCAGAATTGGGCTCCGGACCAGACAACCGTATCCCGACACAGTTTAAAACGGACATAATAACAACTCAGATCGACGTCGTTCGATCAATTAGTATAAGGTAGATGAGTTGCGCACATAACCTACTTCTTGAAAAGGGCGCACTGCGCTTAACTTACCACCCAGGAATGAAGACGGGAGGACACAGCTACCCCCCCTCCTCCCTTTCTCTACTCCTTTACTACCTCCCAAGCCCTGTAATCTCGATCCGCCTACATCCTACACGTCATCCCTCTCTCTCTCTCTCTCTCTCTCTCTCTCTCTCTCTCTCTCTCTCNTCTCTCTCTCTCTCTCTCTCTCTCTCTCTCTCTCTCTCTCTCTCTCTCTCTCTCTCTCTCTCTCTCTCTCTCTCTCTCTCGCTCGCTCGCTTTCGAGTATGAATGGGCCTCAGCTAATTCAACGGTGTTTAGTCCACTTAACAGACAAACAGATGGCACGACAAGCAAAGAGAAGAACCTAGAGACATGCCAGAGGAGGGAAGAGCAAGAGCAGGGTGGGGGGAGAGAGAGAGAGAGACACAGAGAGAGAGAGAGAGGCGTGTGCTATGTGATTAAACGAGAGACAGCTCGCCCTTGGGAGTTGTGCGTTTGACTAGCTTGGCCCAGAACTCATTCGTTTCTTCCACCACCTTGAGCGCGTAATCTCTTCCCATCGGCTTGTCGTTGAGTCCAAACCGGTTCGCCGGTTTCCCGTCAGGGATCTTGTAATCACGGAACCACACTCTAATCGCATTGAGCGTGCCAGGGAAATGCTTCTCGACGTCGGCTATGTCGTTCACGAGAGGTGCCTTGGGGTCATCAGCGGCTATGGCGACAAGCTTCCAGTCGAGCTCTCCCTCATCGATCATAGCGTAAATCGCTAGGGGTTTGACCTTGACCACCTCTCCCATCTGGATTTCCCGCTCTCCGATCTCGACGACGTCGACGGGATCGTTGTCCCCCAGCGCGTTCTCCACGTCAGGATTTGCGTGAGATGGGTCCTCCCACGTCTGCGGCAGCATGCCGTAATTCCAGTTGATGTTGTAAGGGTAAAACCGCAATTTCCCCTTCTTGGTGTCCTGCTTGATTGGTGTCCCGGCCTCATCCGTGGCCACTTCCATCTTCGCACTGGACTCCTTAGGGATCTCGCAGACGAAGTTCAATAGCCCGTCGCCCGCGTGAAGGGGTATGTCGTGCCATGCGGAGACAGGATTGCCGTCATCATCGACAAGGAACACGCGGAAATCCAAGCTTGTGGGCTCACCTTCAGGTTTGGCCTGATAGTCTGCGCGGATGGACAAGCGCGCTAGGGACACGCGGCGGCGGGGGCCTAGCCTGCGATTAAGAACTGACACCAACGATCTACCGGCTAGGAAAATGGAGGAGGAGGAGGAGGAGGAGGAGATCTGACGGTGGCGATGGCATTGGCCATGACGGCGAGGGGACGCCACCGCCGCACAGCCTGCGTTGTGGGACGCGGGGACTGCATAGTGCCCGACAGCGCGCTCCAGAGCCGCGCACCCCTGGCGAACGGCCACCCTCGTCGCCGCCGTCGCCGCCGCCGCTACCGGCGCGCCCGTGACCCGGAACACCCTCACCGCAGCCATAGTTCCGACGGCGGAGGCGCTCTCACCGTCCTCCGCGCGACGCTGAGATTACGTACTCCGCCACCGCCTCCACCTACGCCACCGCCACCGTCCTATGCAGATGATTCGTGCGACGACTACTTACGAAAAACCCCTCTGCTTAATTTTAGCACGATGATCGCGCCTTGTGGATTTCATCGGTGGCAATTGAATTCGATGATTTCGACGATGGCGCCATATCGCCAACGCCGGGCCGAGCGCGAAGTGTCCGGGCGCCGACCCGCGTAACAGAACCGATGGCCAGCGACCGGTCCACCGAGGCCTTCTTCCTGGGATTTCCACAATCGGTTGCTGGTCCTTCAGCACTACCATCTTCCCCCGTACACAATGCATACTCACATTATGATTATGACCGCATCCAACCGGAAAGATGGCATATATACATTCAGAAAATCAGGGTGCATTATGTTCGGGAGAACGAAGGTCGACGCCACTGCCTGGCGAAACTGTTCCTTTTGCCGCTAAGAAATCTCACGAGACGAGACGAGACCAGACCAGACCAGACCAGGGGCCAGGTCCCAACTAGCAGCGTTGAGTTTACTCAACGTCTAAATCTGGATGCGTTCGTGGAGATGTGCCGTTGAGAAAACTCAACGCGATTTCTGCACATACACAGACACGTCCAGATTCAGGCGTTGAGGAAACTCAACGCTGCTAGTGGGACCTAGCCCCAGACCAGACCAGACCGCAGGCGCCCGGTCCACCGGCGACTTCCACGAGCTGTTGCCAGGCGGGACTTGGTAGACCTGGGGCCAGGTCCCACTAGCGGCGTTGAGTTCCTTAAACCATGAATCTGCTCGTTTTTGTGGAGATGTGCAGACATGGCGTCGAGTTTCCTCATCCGCAGATGTCCACAAACACGACCAGATTCAGGCGTTGAGGAAACTGAACGCTGCTAGTGGGACTTGGCCCCTCGGTGGAGCGGTTGGCACACCAGTTGGGCGCCATTGCACCTGTAAGCTCTCCCGAATCCCCTCCACGCTACCCTGCAGCGGCAGATGGTCACGACTCTACAGTCTTCCCTCATTATACCTGAATTTGGTGTATCTTTCAGTCTAAATTCAGCTATGGACCGTACGTTGTATTCGGGGGAAGACTGTAGGTGAACGCCACAAACCACTAGACACCGCCATGCGGGGTTGGGGGGGGTCGGGGGAGGTGCAGTGACTGGCCATTGCTGGGCGCTAGCACCGACTCGGCAATGCCTGCCCACCCCTTGTCACCCTGATGAGGGACTGGTACAGCCTTGCTCTGGCACCACAGCTGTGGTGCAAACCTAACCCGTGGGCTGGGGAGAGATCCTGGTTGGTTGGTGTTCCCCCGTACTATAAATAGACTAGTGAGAGGATGAGATAGATGCGTGCTACCAAGAAAGATGAAATAGATTGAGAAAAAAAAAAAAAAAAAAAAAAAAACCCTCTAATTTTCTTTTCAGGAAAATTTTCTTTACAAGAAAAAGGGATTTATTATATCATCACAAGCTGGGAAATGGGCCCACAGTCCCTCACATCAATAATCACGGGCTGCGGGGATCATCATTGAGCTGACAGGCCCCAAGCAATTCAGAAATATTTGGTTTTACGCATCTAGTGTTTCATGATCATCTGGATTCGAACTCGGGTCTGTATTTCAACAGTTGAATGGTGTACCCGCTGAGCTAGGCTCTTGGGTACGATGACCCAGGCTTTCCTTCCTTATGGGCCTCGCTCCACTACTCTCGACATGCACAAAAGACAAAAATCATTACGGTGTATCTTTCCATGTTCTAGTGGAAGATTCACTCTCGTTTTGCACATTTCGAGAGTAGTGGAGCGAGGCCCTATGCCTCTCAAAGATGTTTATCTGCGACCTGAAATGTTTTCGATAATGGCCCTTCCCGTACCAGTTCAACCTTTGCCCCTGGGACCTTGTCCCACCAGCACCGTTGAGCTAGCTCATCGTTGGACTATTCAACCACGAGCGACGGCTCGCGACGGATGTGATGCAAGATGTCCTGAAAATCGCGCGGCCGATTATTGATAAGWGGAGGAAAAATGTAAAACCAAGCTTTTCCGATTTTGAGAAACCGAGGAAAAATGTCTCCGATCGAATATAACGCCCCCTACCCTTGCCCTTCGTCGTTGAGGTAGCTGACGCGTTTTTGCGTCTCAGCTAGCTCAACGCTCCGAAGCTTGCGGACGATGAGACGGTGAATTTTTTTTTTTTTTTGCCGTCATTATTGCGTGCGTCAGAGCGGTTTTTGACATCCGTTATTTACGGCATTCTACGTACAACTCTTCCTCGTCGCTTCACACGGTCTGTGACCGTATAATGTTTTCGATCTGAATGTAGCTGTCAAGATGTCCACATTCATGTGAACATGCTTTTGTGTATTCTGTTGGGGTCCCCATCCGTCCGCACTTTCCACGCATGGGAATCGTTTCACAACATACAGATGTACATGCACGCGGACTGCGACTACGTTCATTCGCCACTTCCGCCCTACATTATAAAACTCTCTCTCTCTCTCTCTCTCTCTCTCTCTCTCTCTCTCTCTCTCTCTCTCTCTCTCTCTCTCTCTCTCTCTCTCTCNAAAATGTAAAACCAAGCTTTTCCGATTTTGAGAAACCGAGGAAAAATGTCTCCGATCGAATATAACGCCCCCTACCCTTGCCCTTCGTCGTTGAGCTAGCTGACGCGTTTTTGCGTCTCAGCTAGCTCAACGCTCCGAAGCTTGCGGACGATGAGACGGTGAATTTTTTTTTTTTGTTACCGTCATTATTGCGTGCGTCAGAGCGGTTTTTGACATCCGTTATTTACGGCATTCTACGTACAACTCTTCCTCGTCGTTTCAAACGGTCTGCGACCGCAGAATATTTTCGATCTGAATTCGCGCGTACGTGCAATGCAGCACAGCGCACAAATTGTTGAGTCTCCGCACGTACGTACCGAGGAGGAGTCACACACGCAGTAGACGATCTATCTGTAGTACGTAGAATGCAGCACACTGCACCGAGAGCGTCTTCGTCTCTTCTGCGTTCCGACGAGCACCCACACACACACAGTGCACATCTTCCACACACGGCCGCGCTTCGAAGCCGGCATACACACACCGGACATGGCTGGCTCYAGCGATCCTGGACTGTCTAACATTGAAGACTGGGGGTTGACGCCCGGCTCCCAAGTTCAGGAAGCCGACTGCATGCAGATCCCCTATTCGCAGATTGAYRTGGCATTTGGGGGCAGGCGAGTGACCACCGTGGAAGGTGATGAGGACCAGCTACGAGAGAGTCTTCRCCTACGTGCCATGGCATCTGCTGGGCATCACGGTTTGTGCGGAGGCTTYGCAGCAGTTCACCATGCATCCCCTACACCATTGYCGTTTCCCTCGCAGTTTTCCTTGCAGCCTTCAGTAGTAGAGACCRTGYCTCTCACRCCTCAGGGCCGAAGAACYGCATTGGACACCCCTGTCACCCCGTTGCACAGTACTGCATYTGCGCCTTCAGCCACGCAGTCGCCATCKGTGGGTTGCGGTTCCACCCCCGTGTCCGCGCACAGCACTCTGCCAGYCGGATCTCCATCAATGGAAGAGAGGGGCGGYCCGGCCAGCCCATTGCCCGTGCRCAGTCACCAGCTGYGCAGCCCTGTCATTGATGTTGATGARCATGTGTCGGGCGGWGGGGCACCTTGTCCACAAACTCGCACAGTTCTCYAGCAAATCATCCATGACATASAGTTTGGAGATGTGGATCCCACAGGGGACACTCGTCCTCGAAGTCTTCAGCMTCARTTGAATGGCRCATGGACACAGACGCCCATCCGTGATGGGTGTGAAGGGCGAGGAGTTGCTGGCGGACTGCAAGGCTGTGCCCACRAAGCTGAGACAAGCACAGCCCGCGAAGGTTTACAATCGAACGTGTCAAATGCGTCGMCTGCAGCWGCTGGCCCGTCCCAGGAGAAAGCAGTGGCGCAGGAGGGTGCACGATCTGGCCCGCCGGCTGATAAGGGTAAAAAGAAGAAGGCTTCCAATAGATGGGGGGAGAAGGAGACGACWGTGCTTCTACGGACTGTGTACGACGTGAAAAYGGGCATGGGGGAGAACTCCGAAGCCATGGGAATCGCTCCTCTGAAGGTGCGGTTGTGGGCAGATGTGAGTGGCAGAATGAAACAGGCACAGTACATCCGAGAAGACGAYGAGTGCAAGAACYGGTACCACTTCGTGCGCAACAACTACAGGCTTGTCAAAGATCACAATCGGTGGTCTGGCAACCAGAAATACTGGTCGATGGATCAGGCGACACGCAAAGCGAACA